AAATTTTTCAAGCCCTGACCATAGTGCTTATGGCAGGAAGGAGATCACTCTGCCTGACAGAGCAGCAAAAGAGCTGAAAGCGGGTGGTGAAATGAGCATTCTAGGGCCTGGCTGGCAGATGGAACTGCACCCTTTCCAGTGATCTGGTATCAGAAACTCATGGTGACTCTTCTACCTGTCTTGAAACTTCGGCACTTCAGAAAAAAAAGCACAGCAAGAAGATTGGTAGCTTTTTAGGGAGTTTAAGAAGAGGGGCAACTGTAAGAAATGTCCCAAGAGGGAGTTTACATGCAGCCAGACAGCCAAAAGAGAACAGCGAGGCCAGCAAAGCAGGAGAAAGAGTATTGGCCAGAAAGAAGGCAGTTTGGCGTGAATGGTGCAACATGCCGGGCTTTAAAATGCTTCCAAATAGGCAGGGAGGAGAGCCATGCCCACTCTGCCAGTTTGTGTCAGCTTGTTTGGCAAACAACTGGCAACTTGGCAACACCGCTCAGGATGCAGCCCGTACCAACCCATGGAACTACATGAACAACTGGCATCCTGCGATGTGGGTACAATACAGGAAGTGACGATTAGTGAATTCAGAAGCCTGCGCTCCACATAAGAACCATGGAGGTAAAGGAAGAAAAAAGAAAATGCATGGGTCTATATACCCATACCTATAGAAGAGCACTTTCTACTTGGCAATCTTTACGTTATCGTTGCGACCCTAGTCATTCAGATTTACTAAAAATATGGGGCTCGTCACACCAGCAGAGACGGAACCTTCTTGGGTAGGCAGATTTGAGAAGAAAAGTGTAGTTATACTGAAGCGACAAAATAAAGGGTCAGAGTTTTATAGGCTAGGTATAGGTGGCCTTATGGTGTCATGGTCAGAGCTGATCTGTAAACTAAATGTTAGAGCTTACATAAACTTTGCATTAAAAAAAAATTTAATCCATAAATATATCAAATAAAAGTGATCTAATAGGCTGCATGTCGGCAAACAAAATGTTCAGTAACGGATACAGTAGCTAATAGAATTTGGCATTCAAATTCAGCTAAATTCCTTATTAAAATACTTACTAATAATCCTTTAACAGGTCAGGTACAGTAGTATTTCCATGTAGCATTGCAACCAGACAGCACAGCCATGTTCTAAACCTCTGTAAAGGCTGCATTCTAGCTAAGCCATATAGCCTGGCCCGGGAACCATCCTAGCCTGTGACTAGGCAATGAATGAGTAGATGTTACTGTGACCATCACTGTGCTCTCTTCTTGTCAGCCTGTGCACTGTACAAAGCAGGAAAGCTCTGATTGGCACAAAGTAGTGCCCCTGCCTCTGCTGGAGAAAGGGTACTCCTCATCAAGGTCAAGTGCCATCTACAATCTAGTTAAAGGATATCCATCGTCAAAAACGAAAAGAATAAATGTGTTTTTCTATAGTGAATTTCCATATGTTCTAACTGCACTCCGAATAACCATATAGATCTAGAAGTTTGTAAACTGATTGATGATTCCCATAGGATGTACTTCCTCAATGCACGGAAACAATTTCACCCAGCCCTTTTGAATATGCACTTTTCTTGTGTTACAACTCAGAGAACCTACATTCTAAACTACAAACATATGCAAACACAACTTGCTGGAAGCAATGCAATATGGGCTATGTAGTGCTTCTTTTTTTTTCCATTTATTTCACAATACAAAGAAAAACCGAACAAAAAACTAAAACTTTCTTAGTATCCAGGAGATCTTACAATCGCTTCAAAATTACAATGTAAACCTTTTCTCATAATTTCATCATCGCCTTTTTAAAGGAGAACTCCCCTTTTCATTTTCTTAAGGTCTAATTGACCTATAATGAAAGGTACTATAAAGCAAGAGGGATCCAGGGATCCTAGCGCTATGTAGTCTTGGGAAATCGAGATTGCGTTACATAAAGCAGCAAAGGAAAGAGATGCAAAACACACTGGGAATGCAGGAAGTTGTTGAAAGTGATGGGTAGACAGAAGGCAGCACTTGCTACATAAAAGGGATTTTTTTCCAAGTAAACTTTGATTGCATTATCAAAACCTATAGAATTTGTAATTAAGTTTTTATTCAAGTTTTTAGTGTATACAAAAGTATAAGTCAACAATAACATTAGTTGAAGTGCAAATTAAATGATCATGAAGCATATACCAAACTAATTAATGCAATAGTTTAACAACAAAAATATAATAAAGGAAAAAACAAAAAAACACATCTTATCTCTGATTCACGGGAGATGATATTACATCTAGGGGCAAATGCCATTGGTATTTTCAAGTGTTTGCCATGGTGACCATACCTGGTTGAATTCATGGATATTATTATGTAATCGGGCCGTATTCCATATTATGAATTTCATGGATCCTTCGCACCAATTCTACATGGGACGGGGGGATGATTTGTCGCCTGTAGTATTTGTTTCCTATTCTGATGTTCTAGCAATATAATATATAATCTGACTTTAGAACCTCTTTTTGTTGATAATTTATGCATAAACATATTGCTATATGTACTTTACTTGAAACTAGTGCAAATACCTAAAGCCTCTACTGCATGTAAATGTAAGGACATGGAACAGAGGGAATGAACCTTATCAGTGGAAATTGTAGACATTTTTAACATATTTGAAGAGGCAAACATTAGATCTCCATTCAACCTGTGCCTATGGAAAAATGTGCATTTATACAAGTAATAAAAGTTATTGCTGAACTAAAAACAGAAGACGAAAAACATTTTTAATTTATCCATTATATTTACTGTGGGGAAAAAGTACACCCTTGGCCTTTAGAAGCTGGTATTACATTTTGCAGAGATCACTTGTAGGCATTTTGCGTAACTGCTCGCCAGTCTCTGACATAGACCTCTGTGCAATCTTCATGCAAAACTCCTCCAGTCACAACATGTGTGTGGGTTTTCTTGCATTAACTGCCCTTTTGAATTTCCCCCACATTTTAATAGGATTAGAATCAGGGCTTTAATGAGGCCAGTCCAGTCTATAAACCTCCATTTTTTTTTTCCCCCATTACTAGATTTGCTAGTGTGCTTCTGATCCATTATTGTGCCTTAACTTGGTATCGAACTTCAGACTCAACTTTAGGACAGATGGGCTTACTTTCTCATCAAGCACACTTGATATAATGCATAATTCATAGTTGACTTAATGACTGCAAACTGTCGCGGAAGGAGCAAGGCAACAACTAAACCATAACATTTTCGCCACTGTGCTTTATAGTGGGTATAAGGTTTTTCTCTTAAAGTGCTGTTTTGGTTTGTGCCCAACATGTTCACTGCTACAGTGGCCAGACTACTCGATTTCTCAGTCCACAGCAAATGTTGTTTCTGTTGGCCTGGCCTTTGCTTAGATCTTCATTGGGATACTAGTCTTGTTCTAATGTTTTCGGTACAGAAAATACCTTTTTCCTGGAGCACCTCCCATGCAGGTGAAATTGGTGCAATCCCTCTCCGATTGTAGATTCATGCACTTTGACAGCAATTGTTGCAAGAGTTGCCTTCAGATCCTGCAAATAAATTTTAGGGTTACTGAAGACTTCTTTTAGCATTAAATGGACAGCTTCTTGGGAAACTTTTGTGGCCCAGCCATTCCTAGACAAATTTAAAAGTTTTTAAAAAAATAATAATTATATATATATATATATATCT